GTGTGTGTCTCTGTGTGTGTGTAGTGTGTGTCTCTGTGTGTGTGTGTGTAGTGTGTGTCTGTGTGTAGTGTGTGTATGTGTGTAGTGTGTGTCTCTGTGTGTGTGTAGTGTGTGTGTCTGTGTGTGTGTGTGTAGTGTGTGTCTGTGTGTAGTGTGTGTCTGTGTGTAGTGTGTGTCTCTGTGTGTGTGTAGTGTGTGTCTCTGTGTGTGTGTGCGGGTGAGCGCTAGTGTAGCGGTAAGCGCGCTACGCTTCGAACCCAGCGACACGAGTTCGATTCCCGCTCACGGCCAACACCAGTGATAGCGATTATCTGAACCGGTCCTGGGCCTCCCTTAGGTCGACTCAGCCTCAAATGTGTACCTGGTGCGGTGTGTAAACATCCCCACTGGGGAGACAAAGGTGGTCGGGCGTGGTGCTGGACACACACCCCTTCGTGTACCGTTCCGGCCTTCATAGTTGCTCGCTAACAGCACTTGCCCCAAGTCTGTTAAGGCTATACGGGGGTCTTTATCTTTGTTATATACGCGTGTGCGAAACGGCGTTACGTTACGTTACACGCGTCTGAGCAACAGCGCGAGCGAGCGTCCACACGTCGTGGAGAAGAGTCGATTTGATACACAGTTGTAGCCAACTTGGTCATTTCCACCCCACCTCTGTTCATCCAACCCCCCTCCCCATGCCCTGTCAGTCAGCCATGGGGTTTGTGTGACCATACTTCGCTCTGCTGGTCAGTGCAGGTTGATAAAGGGGGAGGCAGAGAGACAGGGGAGATGAGAGGACACGGCCAGGACCGGATCGAATTTCACTCGCCACTGATGATAGCCGTGCCCGGGAATCAAATTCAGGTGGCTGACTTCATGGCGTGCCACCCACAGCACTCCTCGCCTCGGCAAATGTTTCTTGTTCAGTGGTTTTCCACATTTCAGTAATTCGTCGTCGTTTTATACTTTAGCCCTCAGGCCAGAGAAGTAATTAGTGGCATAACCAAATAGATTAAGTGATAGTTTTACTTTCACTCACCAGGAGATATGTAAATATTCGGTCAGATCATATCCATCTGTATCTCTGATTTGTACGTGCATTGGTTAGACATATAAGGTTTATGTCAAACAGACTGGGCTGAGCCCTTGGTGCCTCGGTGGCGAGATGTAAACTACCTCGCCTGGTATGCAGGAGGTGGTGGTGGGTTCTATCTCGACCTTAACGCCTATATTTTTGTAGTTTGCACATTTTCCCCGTGGTCGCATGGCATTTTTTTTGCTTGTCCTCCGGTTTTTCCTCCACATTTAGAAACATGCGTTTCTAGTATATGGCTGCTCTATATTTTAACACGACGAGCCACTCAATTGGGCTATAATTTGTGGCCAGGTTCCTTCGGCAAAAGAGCTACATAGCTCGGTGGGCTATAGCGCCTGGTAAAATAAAAAATACATGTTTAGTTTAGTTTAGGTGTGACGTGCAGAAATGTGCAAGCGTATGCAACTTTTTGGGAAATAATTTTTTAAAATCCCTTGCTGCGCCGTCGTTGAAGAACTGCGTGTTACTGCAAGTTCTTTAGGTCATACCAGACCATTTTAGGATTCTTAAAACCGCTGAATACTCTAAATGGCAGACACCCAACAGCCAAGGACAGCAACTTTGTCAAAAGATAATTTCTAAAGAAGCCGAGTAAGAAAGAGGTAATGATGGAACATGAATTATTCTTTGGTTTTTTCGGTAAAGTCACGTATAAAGATAAAATAATAAATTAAATAATAGCATGGAAGATGAAATTGAATAATATTCAGAGGCTGCTTTTGGACAAGAACCATGTAGGAAATGAAGGAATTTGAAAAAAATTGCGGAAGTCCTTTGCCCAGCAGTGGGAAGTTGCAGGCTGACAGCAACAACAACAACAGGTTGCTATCGTTTATAGAAGTGGAGCATCATGCAAGCTCCGGTCATCCTCGCAGCAGCATTTGGCTAACCGTAGAACAAAGACGGTCACTGCATCGCGTGCTTTCAGATGCACTTCTGCGGCCCCCTGGAACGCTCTACCTACCGATGTTAGGAAGCCACTGGAGCTATGCTCTTTTAAATCATCATCCAGATTGAAAACTCATTTCTATAGAACTGCTTTTTGTGTTTAGTTTGTTGTCCTTCCCCCACACCTCCGATTAGTGCGATTGGCTACGCACGGTGCGAAAGACGTTTAACACACTTACATACATGCAGTGGGCAAGAGCAGACTATACGCGTAAAATCAGAAGTGACTCCGGGGTTTTGTCGTCTAGGGCTCTTACCTGATGTGATCTGATGCTACACTGATGGAAGAATTCTCCCAATATGTCTCTTCATCTCAGTGCCAAGGTTCCACTGGGATGAAGAGAATCTAACATTGAGTTAAATACCCTCTCAGATGTTTTACTTACCAAGAATTGTTTTGTTTTGATCACTTATAACTTTAATAACCATTTTTACTTTTTTTTGGGCATAAAAAATACGTTGGGAGTGAAATACGCATGATCAATATTTATGATCTAGTTGCTGTCACTATAACGTTGTCTGCAATAACGTGCTTTTATTACTGTGAATAATTAATAACCGTATCTATGTAACTATGGCTTCACATGCAATAGGGACCATCCCAACAGACTCTCACCTGGCTATATGGAAAGACTATCATATATCATGCAGTCGTTGTAACCTCCAGTATCAAGACACCAAAGAGAATTGATTCTCCAAAGTGAGCCTCACAGTGACGTTATGGACCATGATTGGTAAGGGAATTAATAAACATTTAGACCTTTCTTAATCCGTTGCTGGATGAAGTTCTGCTCACATCGTGTCAATCATGATGGTTATTCGACCATACTTCACCATACTGGTCAGTATGGGTTGGTGGTGGGGATCGAGGATCAGTCCGATATATCACTCTGGACTCATGTTAGCCAGGGCCGCGAATCAAACTCAGGTTGGCGGTCCATCTCGCAGTGCGCGAACCACTGCGCAACTCGCTGCTCCACCCCAATGAAAGATCCCCTTTTACACTCTTACAGTATATGATTTGTCTTCTCATTTCATCCGTGTATGGGCTCGACTGTGTGTTTAATAGATTTGTGTCGTCAAGCTTTTGTATAAATATTTGTGTTGTCCCAGGGGCTTGCTCAGGTGGTGAATTTTGTGACATCTGCAACAGGCTCCACTCAAACGTTCTTTAACAGGCGCAGGCTTTGGATGTAAGTACAGGGACTCTACTTACGAACGAGTTAGGTTCCAGAGGTCTATTCGTGAGTCCAACTTTACTCCTGTCGATTCCAAATATGTTGTACGGCATGTACACTAAATCACAGGGAATGGCTTTAAAAGTTGTATAATCCCCTGCAGATGTAGATGCCATTGGTTCTTCACGTTTTGCTAATGTAGATCCCACTGGTTCTTCAGGTTCTGCAGATGTAGATGCCACCATCCCCATCTATTGCGTGGGGTTGGTTGAACTTACGACGCTCAGTCCAAACAGGCAACTGGACATACGGACCAGGTTTGTTCGTATCTCTGAAAGTTTGTAAGTCGATTGTTTGTAAGCGCAGGAGTCCCTGTATGTTGCACTTCTTTCTCACCATACATAGCCAACCGTGCCAATGCTGAAGTGAAGGTGAGAACGCAAGACCACTGCATCATTCTGCGTCACGTGTTGCCAGAACAATGCTACTGGCTGATGTATAAGTGGTGACACGTCGAGTTCTCGCTGAGCGATGGATTGCCTGGGCAGAGTAGGGGTCCTGCCTGGCCGTGCCGGTGTCGAGACGGCGGCGTCAACGTCACAGGTGCCGCTGAAAGGAACTCCCTGGGCTGCTTTCTGTTCGGTCATTTCCAGCGCCAACTCTCTTCCGTCCCGCAGTGCTCTGTATATTTTGAGTTCCTCTAGTTGTGAACGGTATTGTCACAACGGAGATGTGTCCACAATCCGTAAAAAATTGAAACTTATAAATTGTACAGCCCTTTGTCAATCTGATGCTGTGCCTGTCCGCACCTCCCATTAACACGGTTGGCTACACACGGTGCGAAACAAGTTATACATGTGTAGTACAATAGCGCCGGCTGGTGGACAGCAGTGGCAACTGTGGTGGACATACAGCACACACGCCGGTGAGGGCGTGCACGGGGTGCGGGCAGAGGGGAGGAACGAGGGCAAGGGTCACGGAGGACCCCTGTCTGGAGGCCCCTGGAACCTGCTCACGGGTTCGAGAAGGGAGGCGTGGTCAGGGCAGGAGAGCCAGGCCACGCTGGGAGCATAAAAGGAGCCAAGAGCGGGGGCTCGAGGCTACCGGTTCTGGGAATGGACTCGTTTCGTCGCTGCTGTTGTTTCATCGCCGTCGTCGCTAAACGTCTCCGCTAGATGTTGCGCTATGAAGGACAGCATTTGGCTATCTCAGTCAGCGCCGTCAGCGTTAGACAGCTGGTGCAGTGTACAGGCTAGGCTGAGCTGCTGTGGAGAGTGTGCGGACCAGACCGTGAAAGTTGTTAATAAAGAAAGTGCCTCCGAGAAACTCTCTTCTCTGAATCGTTACACACGTGTACATGGGGGTTACTTTCTCACACAGGCCAGTGTGGTTTGGTGAAGATGGAGTAGCCCAGCACTGGTTCAGGTATCGCTCCCCACTGATATCACTTGCTGGCAATCGAACTCTAGTCACCGGGTTCGTAGCACAGTGTGGCGTCGCGATGTATGTTTCTAATTTGGTGTGATGCAGTTACGTGCGATTGGGTGTGATGGTGTACAGTACAGTGTGGAGCAGTGTGGTGCAGTGTTATTGTGCTATATCGTTTGGTGTGCGCTGTGGTGATGTGTGTCTGGTGTAGCGGTGTGCAGTGTGGTGATGTGTGACTGTGGGTGTGCCGCTGTGTGACTGTGGGTGTGTGACTGTGGGTGTGATGCTGTGTGACTGTGGGTGTGATGCTGTGTGCACTGTGGGTGTGCCGCTGTGTGACCGGTGTGGTGTGATGCTGTGCGTTGTAGAGCTGTCCGGGAACACACGCTGCGTGGTGGACATGGTGGATACCCAGACTGTGCTGTCACCTCCGACCCTCGGCACGGCCGACACCAGGTATGGATGGAGAAGTTCTTCATGTCCCCCACATCACAAACAACAACCACAATTTCAACATCCTATACAGCATCTAAATCTGGATTGGGGAACCTATGGCCTATTGGCTGGATACAGCCTGCAAGTTCATATTATTCAGCCCGTCGTCATATGGGTACGACCACATGAAAACGGCCTGCAAATGATATTGATCCATCACTGCAGGCACCTTAGCCACGCTAATCGAGGACTCGAGGGAAATGTTCATGACTTGGCCACGGTGTGTTTCTAACTTTAGCACGCTCACTCCTTCCGTCACGACAAGGGCCTCTTGCAGTTGCAAAATTCAACGAGGTGTTTCAGTGTGTGTGTGAGTGTGTGTGAGTGTGTGTGAATGTATGTGTGTGTGAGTGTGTGTGAATGTGTGGCCCACCGTGGGGGCAGCAGTGTAGCAGTTCGCGCGCTGCGCTACGAACCCGGTGACCCGAGTTCAATTCCCGTTCACGGACAACACCGGTGACGATTATTTGAACCGGTCCTGGGCCTCCCTTAGGTCGACTCAGCCTCAAATGAGTAACTTGGTGCAGTGGATAAACATCGCCATTGGGGGAGACAAAGGCGGCCGGGGGCGTGGTGCTGGCCACACACCCCCACATGTGCTGTGCCGGCCTTCGTAGGTGCTGCTCGCAAACAGCGCCTTGCCCCAACAGTCTGTCTCAAAACTAGCTACTACTGACCAAGATTAATTTGAGAATCTATCGAATTTTAAATAAATAAAATAATTTTAACCGTTCGGATAGCTACCGACTTAGTGCTGCGTGGAAGCGAATCATCAAATAATACATTATATAAATGCATGCCTATAAAGGGCAGCATACTTCAATAGGGATTACCGTCGGTACGGCTATTTTAATACATAACAATAGACAGGAAGGACAGGATCAAAGGGCTCGCATAATGCACAATGTTCGTTGACTCATTAATCCCTCACCCCCCCCTCACGTGGCACAAGAGCGCAGAAGCGTGGTCACCACATCTACGCCTCTCTATAAGGAACGAAATCTGTCTATCGCCTGATGAAGCTAGTTGTAATTACTGGCGAAACGTCGTGCTCAGATTGTAAATGTTGTGGCTTGGCTCTCCAACACACCGGTGTGCTGTACTAGTGACGAATTGGCACTTTCTGTTTACGTGACAACCCTTACTAGTTGGTTGTGTCGGGTGGTGGCGGGTTTAATGACACATTCCTATATTAACGCGATCTAACCAAAAAATCATCTTATAGATATTGGTTGTGAAAGCCTACGTATTAAAAAGTAATCATGCATTTCTTTACCAATGAAAGCCTCGCTTGAGTCTCAGTATTTTCCTTTAAACGGTCCCGCTTCTATACGTTTGACTAATTGTTTTTTTGAGAATTGTTGCTTTGTGGGAGGAAACCACACTTTTCAGGGAAAGGCACACACACAGATCAGATTGTCAACAACCTACTTGCTGTAGTTTCCCACAAGCATTTTGGAACCCTTGCAAATAGTTGCTTTGCACAGGTCTCCATCTCCGCATGATCCACCAAATCAGGGTGGGGGTTTTCCAAGACCCTTGCCACCCAGGCAGCTGGCCACCTTTACGAGTGGAATTCTTTCAGCGCACGAGGGCACGCAAGCCCCAAAGCCGGACGGGTCACGATTGTGGGAGGCGGCTGCTGCTTTACAAGCAGTTGCACTCAGGGTAGAGGCAGAGAGGGCTCCGACTGCGTGAAGCTTTCTGAGAGTGAGCAGTCCGTTGGCCTCCTGGAGTTGCAGGTAGACACGGTGTTCATGTCCTCCTCACAGTTTCCCTCCACTGGATTTAGAATGGCTGTTGTGTTGTAGACCAGTTGGCTCCTCAACCTTTCTGTGGCTACTGCACCCCCCCCCCCTTGTTGAATTTTAGTTTCCACCGGGTACCCCCCCCCCCCTTGCCTGACCCAACATGGTTCTGAGAAATCAACGTATGAATGACGAGCGTCAATATTTTAACCAATGGTCCATCTTGCGAGGCGTCCTAACTGGCTTGTTAACTGCAAGTGAATAAAAAACGAAGCCAACGGACGCTCCGCACGCTTGACACAATTTGTTCATGCTCGCCGGTTACTCTTGGAAGCCCCGCATTGTTTCCGATCAATCAGTTTAGAAAAGACCTTTTATATCGTTATAGGTTACCATAAGGATTTATATTTTATCGTAGTTATTTAATATTTGCAGATGCATACAACATTATTCGCCAGCGACTCTCACGCATGATATAATTTCACACATTTATAAATCACTTCACGTACCACCTGGGACATTGCCACGCATGCCTCCAGGGGTTTGCGCGCCCCCCCCCCCCCCCCCCCGGTTGAGAACCACTGTTGTAGACTGTCAGAGAAAGCCCTTCCACAGCACTAATGCTGGGTGGGGTTTATGCTGGCACATGACACGGCTTTAGCTGGCTCGTCTTTGGCCCCTTTTGTTGAGTTTGTTTATTATGACCCTGACTTTTTTTTCTGCCGGCCGGCAGAAGCGGAGAGACGAACGTGAAACTCTTCACGTTGTTTCGTTTGCAGTCAAAATAATTGGAGCGCTGCAGCCACCCGTTGTGGAATTTTGTTTTTTTATATTTTCCACCTTTCTCTGCAGCTCCCAACAGGAAGTGGAATGTACCACCCCGCGTGCTCTGCTGTACCACGCCCAGCCGGTGTTAATTCTGGAGCAGACCACTTTCGAAGGGGGACATTTTAATGTTTTTGCTATCAATGCGCAAAAATCAAAGTGTTATATCGAAAGCCCGACGCTGCCTCTTGGCAGTGCTGGGTAAAAACATGTGCACCGATCACTTAGGACCAGCGTTGCCGTGTGTGTGTGTTAAAGACTTCACAAATGAAATGTCTGCAATTGTCGGCATATTTATTTTCTTTCATTTAACAATTAAAACTATTTAACCAAAATTTATAATTGACTTGGGATTTCGTCGGAGGCACAAATCGTGTATGCCAGTGAAGATATCGTATGTGGAACCCTGTGTACGCTCATGTGCATTGGGCATGAGCTTTTGAGAATGAGATAAACAAAGATGCACAGATGAACGCAGGTATTTTTTTAACACAATTCTTTAAACATAGATATTCTTATTCTCGTAAATCAACCAAGACTCGTTGAAGAATAAAATAATCGTCATATGAATGTAATCAATGCTGCTACTTTCAGCATCGTAAGCCATTATTTGGGCGCTGCAGTGGCGAGGTGTTCACTACCTTACTTGGTATACAGGAGGTCGTGGGTTTGATTCCGATCCTGACACCTGTTGTATATTTGGAGTTTGCATGTTCTCCCCGGGGTGGTGTACATTTTTCTCCGGGTCCTCTGGTTTTTCCCTCCACACTTAGAATCAACATCATGCGTTTAAGAGTATTTGGCTGCTTACACATATCCACGTGATAAGCCACTTCGTTGGGCTATCACTTGTGATTAGGTGGCTTCTCTAAAAAAGAGCAATATAGCTCAGTGGGCCTTGCCTGGGGAAATAAATAAATAAATAAACCCCAGTGTAGTGAATTATCTCACTACTGCTGAATGAAGGCCCATGATTAATCTCACTCCTGTGATTTCATGGCTCCATCTCCATAGTGGTGATCCCTTCTGCGGCTGCCATTCCATTCCCAGTCTCGTCCATCACCCACCATCGGCTTCTAAGCCCTGGGTCCTGCTCAAGCCGACTTGCATCTCTTCGCGATTAATGTTACGTTTCAAATTGGCTTTAGTTCCCTTATACATGTCTCTTATTACTCTGAGCATAGACTGCATTCAATGGCAACGTCTGGGATGGGTTATTACGACGTTGCGTTGACTACAACTCGTATCAATGTGGCCTGACATCATCTCTGCTAGCAGATATTTCAACTGCTCCTTCATTGATTTGATAGCCTGAGACTTTTACAGTGACATTTGTTTTGTTTTACCCAAACTTCCTTTGTCAGAATATTCATACTGTCGCATGCCCTGCTGCGACTTGCGGATTGTAAACTTGGCCATTTTACAAAGTGAGTAGAACAAAGAGTTGAAAAGTGCACAAAAAGCAGCGTGGAGAAGAGCATGCTTGGAATAGCACCGAGGGACAGGAAGAGAGACACGTGGATTATAGAACAAACACAATTTATCCAGAACCCGAGAACGGCTGAAAATGTGGGCATTATCCGCTGAATAGACAATTCAACATAAGCTACTTGTCCCCAAATTCCTCTTGACGACACCCTTGGTCACGTGGGATTTTTTTTAAAGTCCCTTTTTTCGAGCAGATGTGCCAGCGTAATTCATTGCAGAAATCACCAGGCAGTTGTGGGATTATAGCCGTTGTAGTAGGGCATGCCGGCTAAGCGCTGAGCAGTTCAGCTGCTCTCTGCACAATATTGATTTGAACGTTTGGTCATGCGTAGTTTAACAGTGGCTCGAGCGACACACGTGCCACTATTCATTAACTTCCAATTATATTTTTTGTCGTTATTGAAATCTGTAATCACAGCCAGCCTTTACATTCCTGGGGGCAATGCGCGACATCGGCGATGATTGCGTGCACGCACGCACCTATTCATTTCACAGGGGTGCCGCGTCCACACAGCTTTAGTTGAGGAGCACGAATGCCCCGGCTTCTCTGGGACAGTTTGGTGGTGACCCTTGCTGTGGTCCCCTTCTCTCAGTCTGCCTTGGGAAGAGACTCCCCTCCGTAGTGGTGTCCCGGAAGGAATCCTGTACGGCGCGCTCGGTGTCACTCGGCGTTCTTCATCGCAAGGCCCGCAGGGCCACCGGCGGCCTTTAGTGTGGCGCCTGACAATACCACATGACACAATACACACACCACGTGACACAATACACACACCACGTGACACAATACACACAACACGTGACACGATACACACACCACGTGACACAATACACACACCACGTGACACAATACACACACCTACGTGACACAATACACACAACACGTGACACAATACACACACC